CCCGCCTCATCCACCGAGCCGAGCAATGACGAGCCTCAGCGCCCCGGGGCGCGACCTGTCAGCGAACCGGCGGGGACGCGGGCCGGCGGTTGCGTGCGCCGCGGGGGCAGGGGCGCGTCCAGGCGTTGGGGACATCGAGGCGGCGCGAGCTGGCGCCGCCACGGCGACACTGGACCAGACCTGATAATTGGACACCTCAACATTCAGTCGTTGAAGCCCAAACTGCCGGATCTGCGAGACGACATTCATAGAGTTTCAAGGATTTGACATATTGTCACTGTTATTATATAACAGTGTTCGCTGACAGGTCGCGCCCCGGGGCGCTGAGGCTCGTTATGGCTCGGCTCAGTGGATGAGGCGGGCTGGAGTGTGTTGTGGGGAGGGGGTGATGTGGGTAAGGAGTGAGCGGACCTGGGGCTGGGCGCTTGTGGTCACAAGCGCCCAGCCCCAGGTCCGCTCACTCCTTACCCACATCACCCCCTCCCCACAACACACTCCAGCCCGCCTCATCCACTGAGCCGAGCCATAACGAGCCTCAGCGCCCCGGGGCGCGACCTGTCAGCGAACACTGTTATATAATAACAGTGACAATATGTCAAATCCTTGAAACTCTATGAATGTCGTCTCGCAGATCCGGCAGTTTGGGCTTCAACGACTGAATGTTGAGGTGTCCAATTATCAGGTCTGGTCCAGTGTCGCCGTGGCGGCGCCAGCTCGCGCCGCCTCGATGTCCTGTAGGGATGTAGGCATTTCGTATTGGAATTTCGCATTAATGTAAACGTATGCTGTAGAAATGTAGAAATTGTAGGGATGTAGGAATTTCGTATTAATGTGAACATATGCTCGTAGAAATTGTGTGAACGTTGTTCGTCCGTTTGTTCCTTATGTAGGGATGTAGGAATTTCGTATTAATGTAAACGTATGCTTGTAGAAATTGTAGGGATGTAGGTATTAATGTGAACGTTGTTCGTCCGTTTGTTCCTCCGTTGTGCTCGCGTCCGCGTCGAGGGTTAAATCGTGGAGGTCAGCGTGACGGTAACCAAGCGCCCCGGTTGGTCGGCCTTAGCCTCGGGCCGGCGAACGGGGGGCGTTTCCACCTCGAGCCCGGTACATAAGCACAGCGAGAGGAGGAGTCGGGGCTCAGTGTTGGCCTGCCGAAGTGCTGTGCTGCGCTGTGCCCGACTACTCTTCTGCTGCTGGCTCTCCTGGCTCGAGGTAGGTTCCCGTCACGCAGGGATTGTCGCGGGCTCACGGACATCCCTTAGTTAGGTTAGGAGCACTTGGGTGGAGGATTAGGTAGTTTCGCGCGTCATTTGTCGTTAGGGTATTGATAGGGTAGTACGCGGAAATTATATTGTCATCTCTCTAGCAGTCCTTTATTATGTTCGGTATTTACAATAAATGGGGTTCGAATTGACCAGATGCTTTTGGAGACGGGTTGAGTCGGAGGAGAACGGAGTTTGAGCGGAGTCAGATTCACTCGGTACCTTAGTTAGTCATCATGGCTCAGGAGCTTAGCTCCAAACCCACGAAGGGCGCGCTAAAAACCGCGTGTGCTCCAAAATGGCGGAGTTATTCACCTGAACCACGATGCATAGTTTAGTTCAATTAGATTAGAGGACAGTGGCTCGTGTGGCAGACGGGGTAAAGGCTGGTGACGTCCCGGCCTAACACTGCTCCTGTAGAGTAACGTAGAGAACCGGAGGGGAGGCAACGAAGGGCCTACAGGACCGGCCTAAGCCCCCCTCACATAATGGTGCTAATCGGCCGGGAACGTTCTTTCAAGTGAAATTCGGCTGAACAACGTTTTTCTCCCGGTAGGTGTCAGGCACGCCATTAGGTACGTAAGCCTTAAACTGCATTATCTAGTGAAACGCCCTGCCCGTAAAGTCGCCGGAATCGCTTGTTAGTACGTGGTTTTGTAAATCTTAAACTGTTTAAACAAACGGCTAACAGTAAGTCTAAAAAACGTTTTTCATTCTTGCTGGTATGAGGATACGCCGCTAACGTAAGACTTAAACTGCATTTGGCGAAACGGCCTGCTGTAAATCCAGTGCGCTTGCTCAGTACGTGATTTTGTAAATCTTAAACTGTGTAAATCAGACGGCTGCAGCTGTTAGACGCCCCCACCGAATTGATCTTGAAAGAACGGTCGATTGAGCCATTCTAAATTTATTCAATTTACTCCGCTCAATATCCGAACTTCTGGGAACAAACGAGCCAAGCCAGCAGCCAAAATTGATAGGCAAAAGTTTGCGATGACTGCAATAAAAATAGCAACACTAAGAAAACCGAAATGCAGCTTGCGAGTTGCAAATATGCTGTGTGAATGAGCAAATACGATATAGTTGACAATAGCCGTTTTTACGACGGCCATCGGGTATACATTTGGTTCACGATTGATCATAATTGATGCAGATTAGATCAAATTAGGTTCAAGTTGTTTCTTCGTAGCTGTTAGCTAAAGTAGCGCTAATTGATTTCTTGCCTTCTTTGTCATAAATTCCAAATATTACCTAAATATATTTGCTGTAAAGGAGATGTGGTACAGATTTGGTTAGATATAAATGTTCATTCGCCAAAATGCCCGTCGTGGAAACGGCTAATAGGGTTGAGTGTGAAGTGCGAATGTGCAGGGTGACTGTCTGGAATTGAGGATGTGTAAATTGCATGTGAGAAAAAAAAAGGTGTGGCATGTGAGAGTTAAAGTGTGGAGAATGCAACTGTGTGGGAGTAAGAGTGTAGAATGAGAGGTGAGATCGGATCAAAAATGAGAATTAGTCAGTCTGTATGCTTGTGTGGTGATTGAAAGTGAGAGTGAAAGGTGCGAATGTAAGTGTGTGAACTGAGTGAAAGAGGAGAATGCTTCTGTGATACGGTTAGGTGACTCTCTGAGAATTACGAGTGGACCGAAAGATTGAACGATTAATCTGACATAAGCATTGCAGTGAAACGGGCGACACGATTCCTACTTGACGTTTACAAAAGTGTCCTTAATTAATCAAAGTCTGTTCAAAGTTGAAACCTTGTTATGTCTTGAAGTACCCACGAAATTAAGGATTAATTGCACAAAATATAGAGCTTCTACATTCGTTTCTAGAGAGATGATCTTTCTTATAATTGACGCTTAGTTTACCGCGATTACCGTGATTTACAAAGATTTCTCCCCGCACGATTTAGATATTGTTGGTTGTCGAAGATTAAAATGAAAATTAAAATTCACTAGGTTAGATCCCTCGGATGCTTCGGAAGCATAGAAAATTAGTTCTTCCCGCGGCCGGAGACAAACAAGTTTGCTCCTGGCGCATGCCTAAATTGAATTATACTAGGTAGATTCGCGTCTGGAGCAAAACGGTATATTCAGATGCTGTGTCGATCCTTCTTTTCACAAAGAGCCGCGTCAGCCAGTTAACAGAGAACGGCGACCACAAAAACACCCGAGACAGACGGGGTGAGAAGTGGTGACCTCCACATTTGTGCTTTCACTCGCCACTTTTTGTGCCACTTTTTGTACGGCGAGCAGGCCGCTCTCGATGGGGTTTTTTTTGCGGCTGGTAGGACGTTTTTTTTTATCGGATCGGCCATGGCATCAAGGTTTGCGTCACGACAGTGAGGAAACTTCGCTGTTACTGCCTTAGCGACAAATGAGGCACCAGCTACTGCGCAACGCGCACCCTTCAGCCATATTCGGTACTTAACTTTGTAACTCCATTGTCATGCGTGATGTTGCGTCACGTAGGGCATGGCTGAGGAGATTTCTAAACGTTAATGATGTAGTTATACAAACAAATGGGATGGTAAAAATTGCTTGGGCAAGAATAAACAGTATACTATAGTTTTTTTTTTATAAAAAAGGGGCATTTCCTTTAACACGGAGCTTGTACAGATCCGACATCATCCGATCGAATGAAGTTATTACCTAAGCATCCCTGTTTCGCCCCGATGAAGTCGAGAGACGAATAAGCATTCAAAGGGATACAGGGCTTACGGGTGACGAATAACGACAGCAATTAATATGTATATAATTCATCTGACTTATACCCAAAACTGAAGCTGAAAGTACTAGAAAATATTCCGCCGGTTGTTTACTCAGAGCACAGATAACAGTAGTACTGGATTGGAAACAGAATATTGGCAGTTGCAGTAAGAGGCCGAATGTTTTTATGCGACGGCGCCAAAATGGGATTCTCGCGTGCTGCTGGATGGATAATTTGTGTGTTGTGTATTGCAAGAAATCGTCATTTTTGTGTTTTGTCGTTTTGTCATTTGCATTTAAAATCGAAGCTACCAATGTTACTTTCATTTGCTTAAAAAATTAAAGTATTTCACTTTTAATTTGATTATTTAGAGGGCACAATGCGTGGTGTTTTCCTTTGAAAAAAAAGTGTGGTGCAAAGCCTTACATACGGATAGGTACATCAACAATGGAGGAGGGAAATGAGCGGTAAAAAACTGCCGTTCTGGCTACAACCCAACCAACCAAGAGGAACAAAAGATTAAAACAGGAGATGTCTCACATGCCACCTATTCGCTTTTCTCACCGAAACATCTCTACGGGCTCAGTGGGTTGGTGCCATGGGTCACCGTGACCGGGCTGAGTGAAATCAGGACTATTCCGCTGCATGTGTGAGCTGCATTTCAGAAAGGAAGATTTCGAAGATGATCGGTCATTTCGCACCGGCATGCAGAGACAGCGCCGTCGGCTCAAGAGCGGCGCAGTCCTGTCAGTATTGACCAGCGTGGATTACGCGATGCCCCCTGTGCACGAGCGGCCAGCGAAACTAGCCATGGCATCCGCACGCCACTCACACCAGAAGCAGGTTATGAAGGACCAGACCGATGCGTTCTTCACGAATGACAATGTCAGCTATCAGGTGGCAACTACAACTGGTCGAGCGTCCGACAGTTCCTAGAGAATGAAGCGGTACTCCGAATTCGAACTAAGGGCCTCAGATGGTGGTCTCTGGTCACGTTTCAGCCCCGCCGACGCTTCCGCCCGAATGGCACCATCAGCATCACAGCAGGAGCGACAGCAGGATGGTGCTCTTGTCATCCAGGAGCCAGTGGCCGCGGTGGCGAAATCCCCTGAAATAGAGGACCTGGATGACAGCGCCAAGTCCTCCCTGGGACACAGCTCTGGCGCCTTGGCACGCTCGGCCAACAGGCGTAACAAGTACGGTGCCTCCGCCAGTCTGCTGATCTGTCTTGGGGCTACGCCGCTGGAGGTACGACTTCACCGACTCCATGTCAGGCCTGCAGCTACTGCGACGGGGCCCGGAGGCCCAGACGTCGGCTCTCGCCACCGAAGTCTGGCGCCTCATCCACGAGCTGGAGGACGGTGACCACCAGATCGTGTTCCAGTGGGTCCCGGGCCACGCGGGAGTGACTGGGAATGAGACTGCGGACCGCCTGGCGGCGGAGGCCGCAACCGAAGACCAGGCACGGGTGGCCGTCGACCTGGCCAGCGCCCGCGGAGCGATCAGGCGCCACGCCGTGGAGATGGCGCGCGCCCGCGCCCGAGACGCCCACCCGTTCCCGGCTGCCACCCCGGGGCACGACGAGATGACGCGCTGGGAGTCGGTCACGGTCTCCCAACTGCGTACCGGATGTTCGCCACTCACCCGGGATACGCTGCTACGGCTGGAGCTGGCGGAAGACGACCGCTGCCCTGCCTGCTCCGAGCCCGATAGCGTCGAGCACCTACTAACGGAGTGTCCCGCATGCTCCCGCACCCGAGGCCGGCTCTGGGGTTTCACGCCAACACTCCGTGAAATCTTCCAGGAGCCGGCCAATAAAATCACGGAGTTTCTCCGAGGAGTGGGGCGCGCCGAACCCCCCGTCGACGTGCTCCCCCTCCCCCTAGGGGGCCCGCCGCGTGGCGTGCAAGAAGAGAGAGAGAGAGAGAGAGAGAGAGAGAGAGAGAGAGAGAGAGAGAGAGAGAGAGAGAGAGAGAGAGAGAGAGAGAGAGAGAGAGAGAGAGAGAGAGAGAGAGAGAGAAAGACGAGGAAGACATCGACCTCACCGTGAGGATCTGCCATATTTGGAGGCAACTGCGAAGACGGAAGCTAACAGGAACCAGCTGCTGGTCTGCGATCAACCAAGAAGTGACGAAGATAGTCGTAAACCGGGATGTCGAACTGACCGGAAGTCGTTTGCAATGATAGCCACGACGTCCTTAGGAGCCTCCTTCCAGAGATGTATGCGACGGTTTTCAATCTATTTGCTGGAAAGTGTGGAAACATGGTAACTGATAAGTGAGGCAGACACTCAAGACAGTGCTGGCCATCGAAAGTCAGGAAGCAGACACCCCAGCGGTAATCGGGTTGCACCCCAGGTGCAACCCGATTGAGGAGCGAGAAGAGGCCAAAGCTCAGCAGGGTCAAGAAGATGTAAGGCGGGGAAGTAAGGTCGCTGATGAAATTGGGAGGGCAGGCGAAGCGAAGTGACACTTGAAGGGGTGTTTTGTGACGTTGGTTTGAATTGTGACGTTTGGATGGTTCGTTGTGACAGGACTGGTGTCGATTAGCATGTAAATAAAGAGATCAAACTCCCATGTACAAGTACTTTTTGTGGATGAGAGTGGGAAATCATTATAATCAAATCAGTGGCACACGTTCCCTCACCACGGTGAGGAAAGTGTAACCAGTAACGTTTAGTAAAATAAGTTACCATTATGCAAAAATGCAGCAATAAACACGAGCACGGCTAGATTGCTTCATTATAAGTTTCATTCATATAAACCATTTTTTTTTTTTTGCCTGTGTGAGAAGATATCGAAGTCTGGGCACGAAATATTCGGTTCTGTTTTCGGCCTTTTTCGGCCTCTTACTGCAGCCACCGGAATCCTGTTTCCAATCCAGTACTAATGTTATATGTGCTCAGAGCTAAAGCGGCATTACCAAAGTAGAATTCCAGTTTGATCCGGTTACCAAATATCAGGCGACGTGAGCGTCAGGGGGCCGCTGCCCGCCGGTAAACAAAACTCAACAACAAAAAAAAACCGCCCCAGACAGACGGGAAGTGATGTTGTGACCTTCCAGCCGCTGGTGGCACGGCCAGCAGGCCGCCCTCGACGTTTTTTTTTGCGACCAGTGAGATGTTTAGGCGGGACGGCCTTGGCTTCCAGACATGCCGGCCTCGCCGCGGAGAGGAATACAAAAAAAAAGGAGGAAAGAAAACGATTCTTCATCACCGCTGCGAGGGTTTTTTTTTGTAGGATGGCTATCCGAGGCCAACTACTCTTTTCGGGCCACTTACAATGACTCATGCTGTAGCAAACACCCAGAACTCTGAAGCATTTATCTCCTCTCGCAGAGACTGCTGACACAAGGGCACCAGACAGCCAGGAGTCGAGCGGTCGGGCGTTGGACACCCCCTCAGAGCTCCACGGGTTGGTGACGGCTTCACTTTGAGAGTGAGTACCGTGATTGTGCACGAACTATTATCCCAAGATGTCTCAAGACCCTCCTCAACTTGCATCTGATAAGGGCGCTGAAAAACCCGACTTGCCCCAACGGAACGAGGAAGAACACGTGTATGAATACAGCCCGTATACTGCTACTGATCAGTCAACCCTAGTAAATGTAACCGAACCAACAATGGATATGCGGCCCACCGCACCACCGCCGACGCACTTCACGGGTCAATCCCCGGGTCTGGCAGCGCGACCGAGGATGCCGCTCCCGGGTTACGGCTTGGGTGCCGGGGCGCGGGTGCGCCACTTCCAAGGCCAAGGCCACGGATCGAGACCAATGGGGCAGTTGCCTCAATCTGGCCCTAAAAACATGGGAGCATTGCGGGAAGTGTTAAGCTATGACCCTGACCGGGAGGAGCGTGGAGGTCCCACCATACGTGACTTTATCGAGTCTGCCGAAGGGGCGTTGACCCTTGGCAATCTAGACTACAAGGATTTGATGCAGGTGATGCCCATGAGACTGCAGGGAGCCGCAAAGGCCTTTTACCGGACGTATATGGAGAGCAGGGGCCTCAGTCTCCAGTCTCCTATGCTGGGGATGCATTGGGAGCACTTCAGCGAGGCCCTGTGCGACCGATTCAGCCGCCCTGTGGACTCGTTGTCTACACTAATGAGTCTAGCTGACTGCCGACAGGGGGATAAAGAAAGCGTTCAGGCGTATGCCCAACGAGTGAAAACATTGGCAATCAAATTATGGCCAACAATCCTGCAATCGCAGGATCCAAGCAGCCAGGAGATAGCCGATACACTGGTGTATCAGCATTTCCAAAAGGGACTACGACCAAAACTTCTCGAATTCCTAAATCTGAAGGACATCAAAAATTTGGAAAAAGCCGTGGTGGAGCTGTCTAAAAAGGAGAACTTCGACCGGGCTCAGAGGGAAAGATATGGGGCGCAAGTAAACGCCATAACAGGCGACCCCAGTGGTGCAGACGCGGCCGTGTCCAACCTTCAAAAGCAAATGGCCGAGCTGCAAACCACGGTAACTGCGTACATGGCGGAAACGACCCAAATGATCCGGGATCAGTTGATCGCGCCCGCCTCACAGCAGGTCTGGATGGGAGAGGAGAACACTGATTGGACCGGATATGGTGTGGAAGGGTATCCGGAAGAGTTTTATCAGATTGAACCCACCGATGGCTATGCCGTGCCTACGTATCCGTCAGAACAGAATCAGACTGAGGAACCGGGTGTCGCTGGGGAGCTGGTTAATGCCATTGACTACCGGCCCCGTCTGCCCCAGTACCCGATAGTCCGGCCACCGATGATGCCTGGCCAGATGCAATACGGGCCACGGGGAGGCTGCTATTATTGTGGAGGATCCCACCTGTGGAGACAGTGTCCACGCCTAGCGCATGGCCCCTCATTTACTGGCGGTGTTCCGTACCCCAGCCGGATGCCGTATCCAGGAGCTCGGCCCATGGGGTATCTGGCGCGGCCCCCGCGGCCGACCGGCGCCTTCCCACCTAGAGCCATGTGGCGTAACACGGGCCCAGTCCGGCAGCCACGCCCCATGGTTCAGCAACATACGAGTGGGCCGGCTTTAAACGGACAACACCGTCTTTGAAGCCGCCTGCTGAGACGGTGCCGGATGCTAACCGGGCGGAAAGGGCTGCGACTCCCTTATGCAGACTTGAGGTGAACAACATAATGCAGCGGGAATCAGAATTGCCGCACATACCAGTGACGGTAAACGGAACAAGATTCACTGCATTGGTCGACTCGGGGTCGGCAGTGACCATCTTATCAAAATACGCATGGGAGCAACTAACAAACAAACCAAGCCTGCGTCCGGGGGCCGCCGTGCAACTGCGCTCAGTCACCGGAAATGCCCTGCCCCACCTAGGGGAAGCGGTGCTACCAATAACCATGGGGGACAAAACGACGGACATGGCGACTCAGATCATATCCGATATACCGTTCCACTGTATATTGGGTGTTGATTTTATACGCAGAACCAACATGATCTTACGTGCGGCGGAAAATTGCGTACAGATGGGAAACCAGAAAATCCTTTTACCTCCCGCAGTGGAAACTACAACGGGCCACGTGCCGTGGCCACTGTTCGATCACTGACCCTGGAACCGCGGCAAGGTGCCGTGGTCACAGTAAAAACTGACCACCCGGGAAAGGGAAGTCGGGTGGTGGAATTCATGCCGGTGAATCAAGAGGAAGGCGAGGAAACCCTTTTCAAAGTTAATGCAATGTGCGGAGAGACCAACGAATCGGGATACTTTCAAATTGCGATTGAGAACCCAACTGATGGCTCAGTTGACATTCCGGCAGGAACCGTGTTGGGAACCACCATTCAGTATGAGGGAACCGTGGCGTCTGTCACCTTTGAAAATCCAAAGCTAAGCGCCCTTAAGGTACCAAGCGATACCACTGAAGAGCTACAGTGGCAAGGTCGGTGGGCCAGTCGCGAGAAATTTCTGGAGCAATTCGACCTGAAGCACCTCCGCCCTGAACTCAAAGGCGAGGTAGAGAGGCTATTGTGCCAATATGAAAGCATCTTTGCGTCCCATGATTTCGACTTGGGCCAAGTCCAAATCGCGGCCCATACCATAACCTTACGCCCGAACTCGTCACCAGTATATTGCCGTCCCTTCAGATGCTCGGAGGCGGAGCGCGAAGAGCTGCACCGCCAACTGGAGCTCATGCTCAAGCACGGTATCATCGAACCAGCCTATGACGGCTACCGGTCCCCCGTATTGCTAGTCAAAAAGCCCGGCGCAAAAACAGCCTCTGACCAATATCGCCTAGTGCAATCTTTCGTCAAATTAAACGAGGTGACCGAACCCATACGGTACCCGCTGCCAAACATGCAGCAGGTATTGGAAGATTTGGGCAGACACAGGGGATTCTTTTCAACTATGGACATGACAAAATCTTTTTGGCAACTAAGGATACGCCCCGAGTGTGCCAAATACGCCTCATTTACAACAGAACTGGGCGATTTCACGCCACGAGTGGTGCTGATGGGTCTCAAAGGGGCAAGTGAAACCCTACAGCGAGTAGTAGACCAGGTCTACGCCCCCATGCTAGCCACTGGGAAAGTTAGATGCTACTTAGACGACCTAATATGCGCCACTAAAAGTGAAACGGATCATTTGCACGTGCTAATGGAGGTGTTCAAATTGGCGAAACAGCACGGAATAAAATACAAACCCAACAAAACTCAGCTCTTCCACCGATCAATCAAATTATTAGGCCACGTCATCTCGGACCAGGGTATTCGTGTTGACGATAGCAAGGTATCGGCCATTACCAAGATAGCAACTCCAAACAACAAAACCGAGGTTCGAGCGTTCTTGGGAATCACGGCCTTTTACCGGCGGTTCGTGACTAACTATGCCAAAATTGCGCTTCCATTGCTCAACCTATTGAAGAAAAATGTGCCGTTCTTATTTGACGACAAGTGTGAGGAAGCATTCCAGACATTAAAAACCGTCCTGACAAGCGCACCAGTCTTGCGGTACCCTGACTTCACAGGAAAATATCCCTTCGAGGTATACACTGATGCCAGTGACAAAGCAATTGGTGCGGTACTGCAGCAGGTCTTCCCCGATGGTACGCATCCAATTGCCTATGCCAGCCGAGTGCTCACCCCCAGAGAAACATGTCAGCCCATTTATGTGCGCGAGTCGATGGCGGCCGTATTTGCGATCACAGATAAGTTCCGGAAGTATTTGCAAGGACGAAAGTTTATGCTGTACTGCGACAATACGGCCGTTACTCACCTGCTAAAGTCGGTAAAGGACCCTAAAACCACAAATGCACGTCTGGCACGGGATGCCATCAGCCTATTGGACTTTGATTTTACAATTTGCCATGTCCCTGGGAACAAAAACACTCACGCCGATGGACTCACCCGCGTCTCCTGGGAGACCTTGAAACAGGAGGCGGGTCTGGTGGCTGACATTAATTTGGACGCCGCCAAGGAGCCCGTGTGTGCAGTGCAGATGGGACTCTTGCCCCATTCCCTAGAGGAATGGTTGCAAGAGCAGAAGAGGGACGTGGAGATTCAAAACATCACGAAGGGCATGAAGGATGACCATAACGCTAAGGGGCCAATACGGTACCGCCAATTTCGGTTGACCCCAGAGGGACTTCTCACGTGCCAAACTCTGGGACGGACAGTCAGGGTGGTACCACAAGTCTGGCGCAACTTAGTACTAAAAGGGTATCACGAGGGGACCATGGGGGGGCATAGGGGAGCTAAGTCAATGATAGCGAGCATTCGACTTCATTATTTCTGGCCGTCCATGAATGAAGACGCGTACCGTCATGTAAAATCTTGTCTGCAGTGCGAACAGCGTAACGCGGGATTTCAAGGAAAAGCTCCTCTTCAAGAAAACTACCAAGCTACAAAACCTTTTCAAAAAGTAAGCATCGATTTCATGACCGGCCTACCCGTGACAGATAGAGGAAACTCGGTGCTGCTGACGGCCATCTGCTGTTTCACCCGATGGGTGGAGCTGATCCCTCTCCCAGATAGGACGGCAAAGGGCGTGGCGGAAGCATTGACCCGATCTATATTCTTCCGCCACGGGTGCTGCCAAATAGTATCTGACTCGGGAAAGGAATTTGTAGGAGAAGTGATGAAGCAAGTGTATCGGATTTTGAACATTGACGCCCGCACGAATACTTTTTATCACCCGGCGGGCCAGGGAAAGGTCGAACGCACGCATCGGGTTATTTCGGATATATTGGCCAAATATGTATCAGAGGGGCAAACAGATTGGGATTTGTATGTACCGGCATGCCAGATGGCAATCAATTCGTCCGTGCACTCTTCAACCGGGTATTCACCCTTCTATTTAGTGCACGGCAGACACCCGGCGCTGCCACCAGAGGCTTTGTTGTTGAACCAACCTCCGCAAACCTGGAACGGTTACGCACCGTTCGTCGCAGAACTTCTCCAAAGCACTCATCTAGCATTCGCAGAGGCCAGACTGAGGATGGGGAAAACCGCGTCGCAAAACCGAGAGAGAAACAATTCCAAAGCCCGTCAAAGAGATATCAGCATAGGTCAAAAGGTGATGTTGTATACCCCCAAAGTGGCCGCAGGTGACAAAAGGAAACTGGCCATGTTCTGGCAGCCAGGATATGTAGTGATTGAGAAATTCGGCAATGTTAACTATTTAATCGAGAAAAAGGGGACGCAACAACGACAGTTAGTACATGTTGATCGCATCAAGCTGCACCACTCGGAGGCAGCTGAAGCGAAGTCCACAGAAAGGACAGCGACACAAGAGCTCACTGAGCACATTACGGCCGAGGGCTCCAATATCCACCTCCAACTCGAAAGTGGGGAAACAAACGCCGCACCAGAAAAAGATACGTGGGCATCGGAACTAATTGATTGGGACGAGGGAGAAATTGGGAGATCATTGGTTGAAACCGGCCAAACCCCGGGGCAACCACGAGAGGGCACACGGTCTCCGAGAGCCGAAGGGACTAACGCAAAGTTCAACCCGGACGAGAGCAGTGATGCCCCAGCCAGTACGCCCCCACCGGAGAGTGACGGCTACGATACCATTTCCCTGCCTTCTACAGACGGTTTATTCTTATCGGACGCGGCCCACGAGATGTTATCTAGCGACGAGGAACCCTCGCAGGAACCCCCGGCAGTGCCCCCAAGGCGCTATCCTCTGCGCCAGAGGACAGCCCCCCAACGCTACTCCCCATCGTAAATTAGCACAGTTATCAGAAACGTTTGTCAGGGACCGCTGCCACAACAATGCAGGACGAAAGTACAGTTAAACGCCAATAGTCTTTTCAGGCACTTAAAAGGTAACATTTGGAGCTACGATCCCAACATGTCTGGAATATTGCGTTTCATATGTCCCAAAAATGGACCGCCTCCGGTTACATTGCATCCGAGTGGAGGGCATGTCTTAATGCCAAAGGGCTGCCGAGGGGTGTCAGGGCAGGTGCAGATACCCGCAACTTCCACTTATAACAGGCATTATGCGCTGCCAGGTACTCACCACCTGGTCAGGCAACATTACAATGCTTCGTTTTGGATCACCCAATCCCCGCTCCAAGCCACGGCGAAGCATGACGAAATTATCAAACTGGTTAAATCCGCCCTAGATAAATCATCTCATCTCTCCATGCCCCTTGACAAATTTAAATCGCATTTGACTGAGATAGAAACTGAAGTAAATCAGAATGCTGTTACTCACTTCATGCACAACAACCAAGTGGCCCCACACGCGGGCACACTGGTGACGGTTGTCGTGTTAGCACTCCTAGTGATGATGCTGTGCTGTTTAGGACGCTGCTGTTGGCGTCGGTGCTACTTGCCCAGACGACGATCTACCGCGCCCCAGATCATGCCTATGGTTACGTTCGCTCCCCCTGCCAGTGTCCCGGTGCGCTCGCCTACCCCGCTCCAAATTGCAGAGTTTAGAGATTCCTCTCCCAGGCGGGCCCTCGCCCCCAGACACAACCCCGAGGTGCCGGTTCGGCGCTCGCGTTCGCGGTCCAGACGGACGCGAATGGCTGCAGGGCTATCCCCACCATAGCGCAGACAACAAGGCAAACCTTAACGTATATTCTGTATCTTGCAATTGCAGTGTCAAGTATTAGTCCTGAATATGCTGTGCAATAAATTCCAAACACCACGCTCCTCATCCGGTATCGAAAAGCAGCGAGCGTATACAGCAGAACGCTCTTCATTATAAAAAAAAAAACTCGCGCAGAATTGGATGCGGTTCTCCCACCGCACCGGCGTCGTCTCCGACATCCTCTGCCGCTCCGGCGTCTGCGCACCTAGCGGAATAAAGACCACCGTCAACAAAACAAGCACCTTCTACCGTATACGGTGTTACTGCAATAGCAATTGAAAGTAGTGAAATCGACGTGACATACCAACACGTCCCTTCATCATGGAAATAATGTCTTTAAATTAGCATAAAACTTAGCCGGTCAGTCCACGACGCCTTTCTCCCCACTCACCTGCTAGTATTTTAAGGCCGTGCGAACGGCCTCCACCAGGCGTCCCGTCTGATTGGCGATGGCCTCTTCCAGGCTATCATCGGACCCCGGCGGTACCATACTGGCTATGAGCGCTTCGACCCGGCTGAACGCGTTTGTCTACGGGAAATCATGCGCGGTTACTCCCCGGACACCAGTGTCCCTGTAGGGTCGCGAACGCCCGAACAGCAGTCACTCATCACAATGTAACAAAATCGAACCGTCATTCACCACACCATCAAATGATCCATCAAGTTCATGCGAGCTGTAATTTTTACTTTTCTACGACCCTACTAGGCAACTTACCAAAGCGTTCACGTCTTGGCTGACCTGGTACACCAAGTGGAACAAACCACTAAACGCCGCACCCGCCGCCAATACTACGATCATCACACAGCACACTGTTCTGCCACCGACATGATGTAGCCAGCGCAGTGCACGTAGAACAACTAACGTCCCCGAACCGCCATTCCTCTCCCCTGGCGCTAAAACGTGCCGTCCGTCCACCGCCTGGCGCCGCGGTGCTACCCGAAACCCGGGTCCGGCCGCGCACCCCACTCTATAAATCCTCGACAGAACACATCCACTCATTAGACCTGTCAGACACTCATTCCTCGTGCGTGACTACAGTGGTATGGAGTGTATCCCACGCTACTCTGGCTACACAATAGCCCGGTCACGACCTTCTACCGACTACCCGTCCATCTCCGCGCCTCCTATCTTATGTTTCTTCACCCCCTTCCCGTTGCCAGGTGGGTATGCGACACAGCACGTCGGTTAGCGAAAACACAGACCACCCGTCGTTATTGGTCTGGTATGGTTTGTATGGGTGCTTTGGCTACAACAGCGTATCAACGACAAATGGCGTTTCCACGACACGTTTAAATCGATTTTAGAGATTTCAAGCGGGTTTTCCCGAATCCCCTACAAGGCTATAATGGCGCAGTCCATTCTGTAAATTGGTTTAACTAGTGTCTTGGATACTCAGCCAATGTAAAATCGGGTTTCGGCGTCGCCAAAGCTGACAAATTGGGATGGCTATTTGGGAGTTCAGATCGGTCGTACTAGTCGCGATGGCAGCAGTGACTAAAACCCCGGCAGTGATGTGCCACCTGTCCATCCAGAGGCGCCCCATTTTGCTAGGCCGTCGCGGCTAGTATCGATTGGGAATATTTCACCTTTTCTCTATCCTGAGGGGACCTCCATTTACAAGCGACTATAGCGTCACTATAAGACAGGCGCGCCATAATCCCGACTCGACGTCTAGCTATTCTGTTTCTAACACTGTATGTGGGGATGGCTGTATGTATGTGTGTGTCAACCTCAGGTGAATGAATATCGGTTTTTCGTTCGGACATTTAGTGTCCCGACTGCGTCCACATTTGGATAATCGTTATGTAGGTATATTTGTATATGTTTGGATGTAGGTATGTAGGTCTGTATGTGTATGTGTATGGCCGTATATGTATGGGACCCTAGTGTGGCACCACGCTTATATGAGTATTTTAGTGTGCCAACAGATGGCAACCCGCAGCACTACCGGGCCAGCAGCTGACGGGAAGGGATCGGCACACCTGGGGACAACGCGGGGCGCAGCGGGGCGACTCGCACCTTGCTGGCCACCGCGGCGACACGGCGCCTGCGTGGGGCGGCGCCGGTCCCGATCCCTGGACCGGTTGCTGCGGCCTCGGGACTGGATGACAGCGCCGCCGCGGCGCGACGGCGTACTGGCGAACTGGCACTTACAGACGACGCGACGGCAGCTGAGGTCGCTGCGCCTGCAGAGGACGCTGCGCCCGAGACTAGATCGCAGGGCACATCGACTGCAGATCCGGTGTACAGCGGCCGGAATCAATCGCGACGCAGTGTCGCGACGCCCACGATACGCGCTGCAACGACGGTGGCGCTGAAGTGAATGTGGCGCCGCGACGGGACGGGGCGCTGAAGGAGGCGCCGCTACTGAAAAAATGGCGCTGAAGGCGCTGTTGAATGTAGTGCTGAAGCAGGCGCCGAGACTGCAGCTGAAGTGAGGTGGTGCTAAAGGAAGCATGGCTGCTGCAGGTGATGCTAAAGGAGGTACCACTGCTACAGGCGGCGCTGAAGAAAGCGCTGCTGCTAAAGGTGGCGCTGAGCGAGGTGCCATAGCTAAGGGTGGCGCTGAAGGAGGTGTCACGACTACAGATGGCGCCGGATGAGGCGCTGCGACAGCCCGCGGCGCTGAAGTGGAAACGCTGAAGGCGCTGTTGAATGTAGTGCTGAAGCAGGCGCCGAGACTGCAGCTGAAGTGAGGTGGTGCTAAAGGAGGCATGGCTGCTGCAGGTGATGCTAAAGGAGGTACCACTGCTACAGGCGGCGCTGAAGACAGCACTGCTGCTAAAGGTGGCGCTGAGCGAGGTGCCATAGCTAAGGGTGGCGCTGAAGGAGGTGTCACGACTACAGATGGCGCCGGATGAGGCGCTGCGACAGCCCGCGGTGCTGAAGTGGAAACGCTGAAGGCGCTGTTGAATGTAGTGCTGAAGCAGGCGCCGAGACTGCAGCTGAAGTGAGGTGGTGCTAAAGGAGGCATGGCTGCTGCAGGTGATGCTAAAGGAGGTACCACTGCTACAGGCGGCGCTGAAGAAAGCACTGCTGCTAAAGGTGGCGCTGAGCGAGGTGCCATAGCTAAGGGTGGCGCTGAAGGAGGTGTCACGACTACACATGGCGCCGGATGAGACACTGCGACAGCCCGCGGCGCTGAAGTGGTAAAGGCGCGACGACTGAGAAGCTGCTGGTCAACTACGGCCGGTGGCTGCAGTGTGCGTCAGCTGAGGGCTGATGAGCGGACCAGCCCGGCCGGTTGCCGCTATGCACCGTACGCCGGCTGGACACCGCTGAAGAGGAACAGCGAACACTCCAGAGCGCTGCTACGATCGACCTGTGCTGCTACGGGCGTCCGCGGCCGGCTGTGGCGGAGTGCCGGACACCACGGCCTGCTGCTGCTCACGACTGCGGCCCGCACGACGCCATTCTTGCGCTGCCGTGTGCGATCTTCGTGGTGGTAAAAGCTACCGATCACCAACGGTCACCGCCTACCTGAGGGCCGAGCTCACGCGCCCAGCGGCAGTCCGTGCCCGCTGCCGAGTGCCGCGCCGGCGCACCAGCGGACGCTACCCGTGCCGCCAACCACGTGCAGTGATATGCAGTGCCTGGACCTACGACGCTACCCGTGCCGCCAACCACGTGCAGTGATAGGCCGTGCCTGGGCCTACGCTGTCCCACGCCGTCTCAGGCAGCGGTCGGACGACACCAGCCGTGCCAGCTCAGCGCGCTGCCGTGTGCCGCGCCGGTGCAAAATCGGACACGCCGCCAACCACGTGCAGTGATAGGCCGTGCCTGGGCCTCCGCTGTCCCACGCCGCCTCAGGCAGCGGTCGGACACAGAGCCGTGCCCGCTCAGCGCACTGCCGCGCCGGCGGACATTCGGACACTACTCGTGCCGCCAGCCCGCACGCAGTGAAGTGCAGTGCTCGGGACCTCGCTGTCCCACGCCGCTTCAGACAGCGGTCGAACAACCGTTGCCAGGTGCCCCACGGAGGGGCGAACGATCGCACGCTGCCCGTGCCACCAGCCCGCGTGCTGCCCTGTGCCGCGCCGGTTCGGACGCTACTCGTGCCGCCAAACGCGTGCAGTGATATGCAGTGCCTGGACCTACGCTGTCCCACGCTGCCTCAGGCAGCGGTCGGACACAGAGCCGTGCCCGCTCAGCGCACTGCCGCGCCGGCGGACATTCGGACACTCCTCGTGCCGCCAGCCCGCGCGCAGTGACGTGCAGTGCTCGGGACCTCGCTGTCCCACGCCACCTCCAACAGCGGTCGAACAACCGTTGCCGTGTGCCCCACAGTGACCGTTCGCACGCTGCCCGTGCCACCAGCCCGCGTGCGGCCCTGTGCCACGCCAACGAATGCGAACACTCAGGCGATCAGCCTGCGCGCCTACAGCTGCCGAGCCATGCGAGAACCATGCTACCGTGTCGTGCTTCGCCCCGCCCCCGGAGTAAGGGAATTTTTCCCCCCTAGCCAAGCAGGGGGTATTATGTAGGGATGTAGGCATTTCGTATTGGAATTTCGCATTAATGTAAACGTATGCTGTAGAAATGTAGAAATTGTAGGGATGTAGGAATTTCGTATTAATGTGAACATATGCTCGTAGAAATTGTGTGAACGTTGTTCGTCCGTTTGTTCCTTATGTAGGGATGTAGGAATTTCGTATTAATGTAAACGTATGCTTGTAGAAATTGTAGGGATGTAGGTATTAATGTGAACGTTGTTCGTCCGTTTGTTCCTCCGTTGTGCTCGCGTCCGCGTCGAGGGTTAAATCGTGGAGGTCAGCGTGACGGTAACCAAGCGCCCCGGTTGGTCGGCCTTAGCCTCGGGCCGGCGAACGGGGGGCGTTTCCACCTCGAGCCCGGTACATAAGCACAGCGAGAGGAGGAGTCGGGGCTCAGTGTTGGCCTGCCGAAGTGCTGTGCTGCGCTGTGCCCGACTACTCTTCTGCTGCTGGCTCTCCTGGCTCGAGGTAGGTTCCCGTCACGCAGGGATTGTCGCGGGCTCACGGACATCCCTTAGTTAGGTTAGGAGCACTTGGGTGGAGGATTAGGTAGTTTCGCGCGTCATTTGTCGTTAGGGTATTGATAGGGTAGTACGCGGAAATTATATTGTCATCTCTCTAGCAGTCCTTTATTATGTTCGGTATTTACAATAAATGGGGTTCGAATTGACCAGATGCTTTTGGAGACGGGTTGAGTCGGAGGAGAACGGAGTTTGAGCGGAGTCAGATTCACTCGGTACCTTAGTTAGTCATCATGGCTCAGGAGCTTAGCTCCAAACCCACGAAGGGCGCGCTAAAAACCGCGTGTGCTCCAAAATGGCGGAGTTATTCACCTGAACCACGATGCATAGTTTAGTTCAATTAGATTAGAGGACAGTGGCTCGTGTGGCAGACGGGGTAAAGGCTGGTGACGTCCCGGCCTAACACTGCTCCTGTAGAGTAACGTAGAGAACCGGAGGGGAGGCAACGAAGGGCCTACAGGACCGGCCTAAGCCCCCCTTTCCCGGCCGATGCACCATTATGTGAGGGGGGCTTAGGCCGGTCCTGTAGGCCCTTCGTTGCCTCCCCTCCGGTTCTCTACGTTACTCTACAGGAGCAGTGTTAGGCCGGGACGTCACCAGCCTTTACCCCGTCTGCCACACGAGCCACTGTCCTCTAATCTAATTGAACTAAACTATGCATCGTGGTTCAGGTGAATAACTCCGCCATTTTGGAGCACACGCGGTTTTTAGCGCGCCCTTCGTGGGTTTGGAGCTAAGCTCCTGAGCCATGATGACTAACTAAGGTACCGAGTGAATCTGACTCCGCTCAAACTCCGTTCTCCTCCGACTCAACCCGTCTCCAAAAGCATCTGGTCAATTCGAACCCCATTTATTGTAAATACCGAACATAATAAAGGACTGCTAGAGAGATGACAATATAATTTCCGCGTACTACCCTATCAATACCTGTGTCAGAAGTGGTATGATTATTGAAGTGCGTGAAATTATTCCACGCGGAAATAATTGTACGTGCAAATTTGTTTGGAGAGTTTTGTGAATAAAGGAGAGACTTTTGGGCATTACTGGTGTTCGGTTGTTTAAATTCTATTACAAGCTATTTCGGCCTTATCTCGGTCTAG